AGGTCCATCTATTTATCTATTTATAGATTTTATTATTTTATAGATAATAAGAAATTGGTATTTGCAACTCCAAAATACAACGTTTGTCAACTAGTCATAGGATAGTCTATAGCACCTGAAACTTACAGTGGTGCTGATAGACCACCGGAAGAAGTCACGTGTACTTTCAGGGGTAGAAACATGCCTTTTTAATGGTATCCTCAGATCAAGATAAGAGCTCAATAACTGCTAACTGAGAAACTATTAGGACTCACGTTGACAGACTCAATTACATTCCAGGCCTTGAATTTGCACATATGTGTGTGTGTGTATGTATGTATGTATGTATATATGAATAATTTTACTCAACTGTAACAGAATGTCTAAGTAAGGTTTAAACATGGTTTGATGCCTCTCCAACTCTTGGGGCCAGTTACAGCAGGTGTGTCTCCTGATAATCAGAGAATTGCCCCTTCTGAGTTAGTTCTGTTCAGTGCTTGACATACAATAGGTCTCCCCTGTAGAAGGTTAGTAGAATGTCATTGCCAACTGGCTTCCCCCATCAAAGAAAATTCTCACCTTCTTTCTGCATAAACACAGATAAATGATCCCTTTCACTCTCTTCTCTGAATTCCACTTTGTCTCAGAGAAAGTCAATAGAAACCATGCCATCTAAGGTGGAAAATATTCTCCAGTCTTCTCAGGAAGTGACTTAGTGAGTAATAATAGCCAATGGGAGAAGTGTCAGAACCGTGTCAATAATAAATGACCTTAATCCTGAGCCACCAGAAAGAGATTTTCAATATAGTGTGCAGTGAGTTTCCACATCTTAATTGGTTCCAAATAAATCAAAAGCTTAGCAAATATCGTACACATAATTACAGAGCTATTAAGAAGAAGCAAGATCAAAGAAATGATAATCCACCCATAAGACTCAATGTCTCCTTTGACCAAAAAATAAGTAATACCTTCCACTGAAAAATATCTTCACACACAAACATTCAACTCTTATGAATAAATCAAAACACTTCCCGTCAGGCCTAGAGACCTTTAAAATTCTCCATTCTCACATTTATGAAATAGGAGAGTTAAGTGGCATGATCTCGAAGGTGTCTCTGTCTCAACAGAAATCTCTTCAAACATACAATGTCTTATCGTCCAACTATTTCCCACCTCTGTGTAGCTCCTGACACATTGCAGACTCAATTATTTACAAGAATTTTTTTTTGGTCCAGTCGTGGGGCCTGAACTCTGGGCCTGGGCACTGTCCCTCAGCTCTTCAGCTCAAGGCTAGCGCTCTACCACTTGAGCCACAGCACCACTTCTCTTTTTGCTTATGTGGTGCTGAGGAATCGAACCCAGGGCCTCAGACATGCAAGGCAAGCGCTCTACCACTGAGCCACCTTCCCAGCCCCTATTTACAAGAATTTTAAAGATTTATTAAATTAAAAATTTAATAACCTGTGATTCAAGGTATTTGTCACATTTCAGATGATTCCATACATACACAGAAAAATAGAAAACATATCATGGGAAAAATGTTCTTTAACGGATTGAGGAAAACCAGGCTTAAAAGGAATGAAGAACTGTTTTCTGGTGTCAATTTGTATTCATTCAGCAGACATTTATTGGATATCTGTTAAGAACCAGGCTTTGAACTAGACATTGGAAATATACCTCCAATGAGGCAAATTTACCCCCAAAGTATAGTGAAAAGAAGTAGAAATTAATGGAAACTAAGAATGGGGTTGTAGTGTAGTAGTAGAGCATATGTTTTGCATGTGCAAGGTCCTGAGTTCAATCCCCAGTACCTCCCTCCAAGAAAATCATCCACCTTGGAATAAATGGAAATTAATACACGGTAAGTCCATGGCAGCCCTTCAACATAGTAAACCCCTCCCTACCCAGTTGATGTGGATGGTCCTGAGATAGCCAATCTCATCAAAGCTCAGAGGAGTACTGCCATGAAGACCGAGATGGACTTACTTTTTGGCATGTGGCAAAGCTATCACTTTTGCATTAGGGACTCTGGGTGGTGATATTCTGCCTGCTGTATTGCTAAGGAGCAAAGACATCATGCCAAAAATAAAGTTGATCCCTAGAGAGCAGAGGTTTAGGACTGGAGTGGGAATACTTGGCTTTCATGCAGTGCTCCTGCATTAACTTCAGCCGTCCTAGGCTGAAGTTTTCAGTTTGAAAGACTACATCCATGGAAGTGGCGCTGTAGCTCAAGTGGTAGAGCGCTTGCCTTGAGCTGAAGAGCTGAGGGACAGCGCCCAGGCCCAGAGTTCAAGCCCCACGACCGACAAAAAAAAAAAAAGAAAGACTACATCCAACCTTATAATAAATTCCATTTCAAAATTCTAACTACCTAAAAGAAACCTAAAAAAATCCCTAAGCAAAAGCGTAAATGCAAATAGACTCTTCCTTCTATTGTTTTCAAAAGTAATGTGTTGGGGCTGGGAAGGTGGCTCAGTGGTAGAACGCTTGCCTTGCATGCATGAGGCACTGGGTTCGATTCCTCAGCACCACATAAGCAAAAAAAAAAAAAAAGACGGAAGTGGTTGAAAAGGCTGAAGTGGTAGAGTGCTAGCCTTAAGCTGAAGAGCTGAGGGACAGCGCCCAGGCCCAGAGTTCAGGCCCCATGACTGATGCCCATCCCCCCCCCCAAAAAAAGTAATGTGTTAAAACATCAGAGATGAGCCAGGCACTGGTGGCTCATGTCTGTAATCCTAACTATTCAGGAGGCTGAGATCTGAGAATTGTGGTTCAAAGCCAGCCTGGACAGGAAACCCAAGAGACTCTTATCTTCAATTAACCACCAAAAAGCTAGAAGTGACACTGTGGCTCAAGTGATAGAGCTCTAGCCTTGAGCTGAAGAGCTGAGGGACAACACCCAGGCCCAGAGTTCAAGCCCCAGGAAAGACAAAGCAAAACACATCAGAGGTGAGCCTATCCAATTGGCTCAGCTTGGATCAGTTATCTATCTGTAATCCAATCAGTTTTGGCCAAGGGGGTGGGATCAAAAGATAACATAGAACTAGAAACCTACCTTGAGATGTGGTGGGGTTGGGAAAATCATTCCTTTGAGTGGGTAGGGGCAGCCTCGAAGACAGTCTTGTTCTCAAAAGTTCACATCACATAACTATTTTGTTTGTTTGTTTGTTTGGGGGCAGGGTCTATATTACTCAGGATCCCCTGGAATTCACTATGTAGTCCAGGCAGGCCTCCAACTCCAGATCTCCTTTCTCTGCTTCCTGAGTGCTAAAATTACAGGCATGCACTACCATACCCTACTACCTAACCTTTTAGTTGCATGACTATAATCTAGAATTTTCCAGTAATTCTTCCAGCCTCTTATTCTATGTAATTTTCTTGGAAAATTTTATATGCAAGGAAAACAAGCATTCTCATCTACATGCTGTGATTTGAGATAACTCAAGACATAAGAAAAGTTAGAGCATCTTACAAGTACCCCTATCCAGAAAAAATCTGAGCTCCAAAACGATCTAGAATCTGAGACTTCAGAGTACTACTTGGCACCATAGGTAGAATATGCCACATCGTGAAACTTTGTCTCATGTCCAAATAATGAACTATAGTGAAAAGTTAGCATCATGACATATATAAGATATATAGGACCCTAACTAATTTCAGCTTTAGCGTTGGGCCCTACTCCAAGATCTCTCAGTATAGATATAGATATATAGATATGCAAATATTCTAAAATCCAAAAACATTTGAAATCCAAAACACTTCGTTTTCAACCTATACTATGAAAAATATGGTTCTTCCAATAAAATGTTGACAGTGCCCCTAAGAAGAGAGAGACTTGGAATCTGAGTTTCAAATATAGACATTGTCTCTCAATACAATGATGTAAAAGCATCCCCTTCTGAGATCAGCCCAGGTCATCAGCAAGCAGGATTTGTGGCTGTGGAGACCCATTGCAACAGCCATATGCACTTTGGTCTACCATATATAATTCTCCAATTTGATTCCCATCTCAAGCAAATAGCCATGATAATTTAAATTAATTTTGAATAGCCTGAAGCTGACAGCCTTAGCATTCCAAATAAATGCTTCTGGCTGAAGTAATGCATTGATACAGTGTTGGGAATATCACTTCTTTTGACTCTTTCGGCCAAGTTATGCATTCTCAGTTGAGGTAACATTATTCCCAACTGGTAAAAACTGATCCAGAAACTCTCTACTATCTTCTAGCGGAGGGGGGGGAGGTCTTCTCACAAAGCCTCCTGGTTGGGTTTGTGTTTGATAGTATAGTGATGAAAGCTATCCTGCTAATTGATATCTCACTTGTCTGCTGATCAAACAACTTTGGAGAGGAGGCCAGTGTTCCCAAGGCCTTCCTCTGGGGGAAGTGTGTGTGTGTGTGTGTGTGTGAGAGAGAGAGAGAGAGAAAGAGAGAAAGTGAGGGACAGACAGAGACAGACAGAGACAAACAGAGACAGTCTGAGTGTAGGATAGAATGAGCCACACTGGGGAAAAAGGAGTCGTGAGGTTTGTGGTCGTACTTGGTGTATGAAAACTGAACAGTGTGCGTCTGTAATGCAGAAGCTCGCATTTTATCTAGAAACTTCACAGTTGTGACTGGAAGTCTCTGTTTTCCCTCTTCCTCTCAGGTGTGAATGAGCCCCAGGAGGACATGCTGTTGCCGTTGCTGTTGGGAGAACACCTCATTTCCATGTCATTTGCATTTGCATGCACCCTGCTGTAAAATGAACCAAGCAAGAACTTGTCAGATACTTGCTTCCTTGCTGTGGTGAGCAGTCCCATAGCCATTGTTCCTCTGTTGTTTTATTGTGTCCTGTCCTCCTGCTGGCCAAGACAAACAGCTCAGTCTCCAGGAGGCATCCATCCCTCGGCTCCACGCGGCCAGCCTGAACATGAACACAGGCAAAGCTGATGACAGCCAGGGATCTCCAGAGACGTGGGGCCCTGTGGGGTCCAGCCCCCAGAAGCAAGCGCTCTCATGATGCTGGCGGCCAAGAGTGAGCACCATGCCCATCACCCAGGACAATGCCGTGCTGCACCTGCCCCTCCTCTACCAGTGGCTACAAAACAGCCTTCGGGAGGGCGGGGACGGGCCCGAGCAGCGGCTCTGCCAGGCAGCCATCCAGAAGCTGCAGGAATATATCCAGCTGAATTTGGCTGTGGATGACAGTGCGGTCCCACCCGACCACAGCCCCCCAGAAATGGAGATCTGTACTGTGTACCTCACAAAGCAGCTGGGAGACACGGAGACCGTAGGCCTCAGTTTTGGGAACATTCCTGTTTTTGGAGACTATGGAGAGAAACGCAGAGGGGGCAAGAAGAGGAAAACCCACCAGGGCCCCGTGCTGGACGTGGGCTGCATCTGGGTGACGGAGCTGAGGAAGAACAGCCCAGCAGGGAAGAGCGGGAAGGTCCGGCTCCGGGATGAGATCCTCTCCCTCAACGGGCAGCTGATGGTCGGAGTGGATGTTAGTGGCGCCAGGTAAGAGAGGGAGAACCTGGTGGAACCGGGTGCTCCAGCTGCCTGCTGCTCAGGCACGCGGCTGCAGAGTTCAGGGTCTTGCTGAAGGCCCACTTTATCCTCCACAGGGTAAACGCATGGAGTCCAAGTTTCCTGCCATGGATCATTGTTGCTTCGCCCACTCCTAGATACTTCGACTATTTCCTTTTCCCCTGAAACTTGGGGTAGAATGAAAAGAAACCGGGCATGAAACAAGAATAGGAGAGCTGTCACATGGGGCTCCCCTCTCCCATCCATTCACCTCAGCAGCTCTGCAGTGGGGGCACGGGAGGGGGGGCCTAAGTGTGCCTCAGTCTACCTGTGTAGATCACCTTAGTTACCACACCCACACTGCTCCCACCAGACCCAGGTCCAGAGAGCCCATCCTGGCAGAGTGATCCGCTGGGAGCTCATCTGAATGTTGGATGGGCATGCTTGCACATAGCTGTATAATCCACTCACATGGCCACATACTACAGCAATAAATTAAGATGGGACAATTTGTTGTTTCCCGTGTGAATTGGGGATCCCCACGCATGAGATCTTTCTACAGTAGACAGAGCTCACACGGTTCATTTGGCTCGGCAGCTGGAGAGACCAGTAGGGCTGCAGCTTTGGAGCAGGCCAGCCTGCTTAGTGTTGTGTGTTGCAGCTCAGGGCAGACCATGGTGACCTTTGTTGCAGCTCTACTGTGGACTAAGCGGTAGCTTCCTTGGGTTCTTGTCTCAGGAGTTCAGTGAGTGAAGCTCAGGCGAATGGAAGATGAGTGTAAAAACTTCATTTAGAGGTATCTAGCTCAAAATGTGCAGCCTCTGCTGCTGCTTCATCTCCATTCTGCCTCACCGAGCTGTCGATGTCCCTCTGCTCCTCTTCATGTGGCTGTGTCACACTCTCAGCCTCTCTCCTGAGGTTCTTACACCCTGAGTTATGCTCTGATTGATTGCCTCTATTCAAATGAAGTGCTTTGAAGGTAACATCTTATTGGTCAGATGAGGTCCTTTCTGCAAACCCTCTCCCCAGGGTCTTGGGAAGGCTATGGGGACTAGAAGAGGCTAAGGCAGGAGCAAGATGTTGTGGAATAATGTATCTCTTGAATCTGGTTTCAGCCTGCTAGGTCAAGACACTGTCTCAGGCCAAACTAATTTACTCCTTCACCACTAGCCTCCTCGTTTTCAATGACTGCCTAGGAAGACGCAGAACTCAGAGGAGCCATCACAGTCCCTGTGCATTGTAGTGAAGGGCTAGGAATTGAGGTCAGCCGAGGCGAAAGGTGCGCAGTGGAGCTTGGGAGCAACTACTTCCAGTTTCCAGCTGCCAGCCGTCCCCCAGGGCTTCTTCAGACAGCTCTCAGATCTCCCCATGCACACAGAGCATTGCTGAGCAGGGAGGCTGGCTCAGCGCTCATCGGTGGAGGTTTTCTACAGGGTCTGTCATGTGGGTGCGAAGAGCCCTTTATGGCTGATTTTACTCAGTCTTGAGTCCCAAACCAATGCCTGTGACCCAAGGCCTCCACCAGGGATCCACACAGCATAAAGTATCAGCTATGGCTGAATGCCCCACCTATACAGAGGTGTTCTTTTAGGGCAGGGTCTTTCACAAGGAGCTGAGATGTTAGCTCCCAGGGCTGCTCAAGAGCCAGTCCTTTCTCTTGAATACACATGGATGAAATACCCCAAATCCGCTGAGTTAACCCTGCCCCAAGCACCCAAAGGCCTGGGCTCCCCCATCTCTTCATAACAACAGAGAAGCCTACGAGACAGAAGAGAAGGAAAATAGTTGGATTTTTCAAGTTTGCTTTCTAGGTCTCTGGAAAAACTAGACTAAGTACTATTTGTTGATTACTATGTATTCAAAGTATTTGGTGAATACTATGTATTCACCAGGATAAACATTCTCCATCCAGGATCTCGTTTCATACCTGCCATATATTTATCGAGGAAGCACAGATGGCAGACCCCACATCTCCATATCTCACCCAAGGTCACCTAAATAAGAGGTAGAGCCACATGGAAATCCACATCTGCCGGACTCCACAGTCCGTGCTCTGAACCACTGAGCCTTGTGGTTTGGTACATAATTTCATGGATGGTTTACAGCTGCACAAAACACCCCTCAGCATAATCCCAGACACCAGGGAAGAAAATGACTAGAACTCTCCAAATGGCATCTCTACCTATCCAAACTGACCAGGAAAACAGAGCCCTCTTGCCTCAACTTACAAAAGGCAACTCCATTTTTTTTTTGTATTGAATCTCTATTCGTCCATGTTTTCTTGACGATCATGAAATACCAGAGAGAGGCTACTTACAAAGAAAAAAGTTCATTTAGTTCATACCACTAAACATGCAAGATCAGACAGGTCCCTTGGCTCAGCCTCTGATGAGGGCCTGAGGGTAGATATTGTCATGACAGTATCCTATGTGTGAGGGAAAAGGTGTGTCATCAGGCCAGAAGCCATGGGGAGATGAGCATCCCACATTCCCTTCAGAGGGCACGTTCCAGTTGCCGTAAGGGCCTCCCACTAAGTATGCACACTAGGCCCATCTCTTAACAGTCCACACACCTCCCAATGACCAAGCTTTCAACACCTGAGCTTTGGGCGGCAGACCACACCACACACGGCAGAGTAACGTTGGCAAACTTACCTCTAGCCGGAGCATTATGGCTGTAAGCACTTTGGATCTTGGATCTAGTGCTCTTTGGTATTTGAGGACAGTTAGTTCCAGGCCCCCCGCAGTGAACATCAAAATCTAAGAATGCTCAAGTCCTTTCTATAAAATGGCCTAGGAAAAACTGAGAAAGAACAAGGAAAGGGGCGACATTGCCCAAAAAGAAACGTACTCATGACCTGATTGGTGTAACTCCTCTGTCTAGCACCTTTATAATACAATAAAAATATTAACAGCATAATATTTGAATGCAAACTTTGCACATCCATCTGTAGCTTTTAATCATTTCTTGATTATTTATAAAACCCAACACAATATAAATGCTGTATAGTGACACACTTTTTTTTTTCTTTTTCTTTTTTTTTGCTGGTTGTGGGGCTTGAACTCTGGGCCTGGGCACTGTCCCTCAGCAATTCAGCTCAAGGCTAGCACTCTACCACTTGAACTTCAGCGCCACTTCTGGTTTTCTGAGTGGCTTATTGGAGATAAGAGTCTCACAGACTTTCCTGACCAGGCTGGCTTTGAACTGTGATCCTCAGATCTCAGCCTCCTGAGTAGCTAGGATTACAGGTGCCCGGCTCCTTTGTTACTCTTATAACTAACCGTTCTCATCTCCTCATGTGGATTTTGTCCTCCAGTGAAGAGAGGAGGAATTGGAGCTCTGCGGAGACCCCGTGTGCCCCTCTGCCCTCAGCTAACACCTCTTCATTGCTCACTGACTTATTTATAAGCAAAAGATTCAGGGTCAACACAGCAAGTTCTGCTAACCTTGCCAACATGCTGAATTGTACATCATACAAGAAGACACTCTTAGCAGGGATCTGCCCTGTTGCTTTGCTTGGGTTTGATTTTGAATTTAAAGCTTATCTTGTAAGTTGAATTGTATCTCCCCAAATTTACATGTGGAAGTCCTCACCCCCAGGGTCCTGTTTGGAAGTTGGGCCCTCACAGAGATGACTCACTGAGATGAGAGGATGCTGACCCGGAACATCACTGGTGTCCTTATCAAAGGCAGATCTGGACACAGGTACACAGGGAGAATGTCATGGGAAGATCAGTGTTCCTCCACCACCAGCCAAAGATTTACCAGGTGTTAGCAGAGAGGCCTAGAGCAGACCCTTCCCGAGAATCAGGGGAGCCTAGCCCTGCTGAGACTTTGGCCTTGGGTGTCTATTCTCCCGAGCAGTGGGAGAATACCTTTCGGTTCATTAAGGTACTCCATAGGAGGTGGTATTTTGTTATAGCAGCGTTTGAAAACTAACACAAAGGATGATTTGACCCTGCTGCTTCAGGGTCGCATATGTTCTTTTCTCTTTGCCATGGGCTTCTCTGGAAACTTCAGAGCACAGAGTGTGTTTTTGGACAAGGGCACTGGGCCCTGCCTGTGTTGAGTGGGAGGAGCAGGTGCAAACTGTGCAAGATGAGATCATGGTTTGCTTATCTTAAACATTATGTTGGGGTCAGTTTGGAATGTTCATCTCTGAAGATGACGTTAGCAGGAAGGGTACTGCCATAGGGAATGGAGTGACTTCCTTCCTGTGCCCGAGGTACAGGATGCAATCTAAACCTGGATTGGTCCCCAGATTCCAGCCCCTGTTCCCACCTTCGCACTGGCTGACATCCCTGAGGCCTGAGCTTTTGCTTCTAGGCTCTATAAGAAGTTCTGAGTGGTGACAGTTTTACCATGGTGTGCACTTCCAGAGAACTTTCTGGAAAAGGAAGGTCTATCGGTCCTGTTTGACACCACATGTGCCATCTTGTAGGCATAGCTTGTGACACACAGGAGTCTCTGTGAGCTCCAGCATCAGCTTTCTGGGAAAGAAGGGATTTTCTGGAATGTTTGATTTCCTTCTGTTTGGCTCAAGAAGAACTAGAGGGTTTTTTTCAATTAGTTCCTACGAGGAATACTTTGTAACCCCCTGATCACTCCGTAGGCAGGCTTTCTAGAAGTGAATCCGATCTAGTCCCAGAGGACATATTGCTCCAAATTGGTAATGGAATGTGGAATTAATTAAAACCAAACCCACACACCACAACAAAAACAAGTAGTTTTTTTTAAGAGCCTGCATTTCACTTCTTAAATGTCCATTTTGAGAACTCTGGATGGTGTTGTGCATTAATAAATGTGAATGGCATAGAGTCCAAATGACGCCGGTCCTCAGAGAGAGACGGCTCTGGCTTCCAGCACGACGGATGGCCCAGTGGCTGGGCCAAGTCACCTCCACCGCCAGAGGCCGGTTCTGTTTCCCAGCAGGGCTGTGCAGTGGCTGAGAGACAATTTGCTTGATGTATTCCATCCTGCAGTTGGCACGG